GCCCTCTAGTGGCTGTCAGTGTGAAAATAATAAACATATACATTTTCAGTGATACAGGAGTAGCCGATACTGGTACACAAGCCTAGAGTGCCCTCTAGTGGCTGTCAGTGTGAAAATATCAAACATGTGAATATATGTTAATATATAAGTCGCACCTGAGTATAAGTCGCAACACCCAGCCAAAGGATGAAGAAAAGTGCGACTTACAGTCCGGAAATTATTAAATTACATAAATAATGCGTTTGTATAAAAGCTGCGGGGTCAAACTACTCACTTCCCGTCTGTGAGGTTGATCTTCCTGAAGATGGGGTACTTCTGTGGTGACGGCTGCCCGTGCTGATCCTCATAAAGGAAGACTGGGGAGCGGCCCACCTCCAGCCCCAGCTGCTGCACACCCTGGTCATCATAGACCGACAGCAAGAAGAACTGGGAGCCCTTCTTAGCTCGCAGTGTGACCATTAGGGAGAAGGTCTCAGGGAACTTGGAATCTGAGTGTTACAAAGAGGTGAAAAGGCCACATATTTAAATGGTTACACCACGTTTTTGTCTTTTTTTTTTCCACAGGAAAAGCATCCTTATTTTTTTAATCTAGTGTAATAGGAGCCACTTTGCTCTAAATACCTCCCTGTAGTCTCGGCAGAAGGGCATTCAATCATGCAAGTTTGGAAATGGAAATGCTTAGATCGGCTTAAAGTCCCTTAAAGTATTTGATGTTGCAGTAATTAATTTAGGACTGTAGAAAAAAAAATATTATTCCTTTTTTTAGTGTGGATTCAATACAGGTGGGGGCAACCTTTTTGAACTGAGGGCCACAGTGGGTTCTAAAATTTGACACGGGGGAACGCATAAAAGATAAAATGCTAAAAAGCTTTAGCCTTTTCTATGCTATCTAGTATCGTCAGATATAGCACATTATATCTAAGGTTTAATCCAGAGTCGATGTTGTTGCTTTTCATTAAAGCTGGTAAGGAGCCAACTACCAGGAAATAGCTGCTTTGTGGGAGCGCTGAGCTGGATCTTCTTGTCTATCTTAAAGGCCAGGTCTGCCTCCTCTCCGCCCCTCCTGCTGGTGCAGAAACCTGCCTCCAAGAACACTCCCTCCATGCTCTCCGATAAGTCCAGCGCCTGCAGGACATCGATGGGACTACCTGGTAAAGAAAACAACAATAATAAGCAATGGATAGAATTGACCTGACATTAAATAAGAAGAACATAACAGAAACAATTATATAAAAAATTAAATATTCGTTTTGTCGGTGCTGAACTGCATATTTGTTTCTTTCCTACATCTGGGAACATATTTTCTTACTCTTATTCCCTACTCATTAATCGTTACATTTCTTTAGCATAAGAAAATTATAAACTGCTCCTTCGGTCTACTGTGTCTAAAACCTGTCCATTTTCCGCTAGCTAGATACACGCTAGCTAGACGCTAGCTAGACGCTAGCTTGAGGAGCACAGCACCTTAACAGTAGGCGCAAACCGGCAGGTGAACTCAGATTATAACAACGTCGTGCCGAAGTTGCGGCAGTCACACGAGGTGCATTCAGGTACAATTGGAAACTTCAGAATCCGTCAATTATGGCAACTTATGTCTTATGTCTAGATTCACCATTGCCCCACTCTAACATAATCTTTGTATAACACTTTTGTAGTTCATAGTTGGAATGCAGTTTTATTAAAGTACTGTTGTATGCACTGTATATTATATTTTTAATATATTATATATTAAACCAGAGGTGTCAAACATACAGCCAGGGGGGGGCAACAAGCCCCCCCCTGGCATTGCATGTTAGTCATGTTTGTCAAATATTTAATTAGATATATCTTTATATTTATTTATATATTTAGTACATATATTTATTTATATATTTTTAAATATATATTTTTTCAAATATATTTGTATTTATTTGTATTTACAAAGGAGAAAACCATGGAGGGCACAAGAAACTAAGGCTTTCTCTGGAAGTTGAAGCTAAATTTTACTGGCTAAATACAGTACATCACAAATATCTCTTTGGCCTTTTTGTCTCTTACTTCTGTTTCCTAAAGTATTGCAATAAGGTAGCTTGAAAATACATTAAAAAGCCTAATAATCATGGAATGTACCAAGAAATAATGTTAGCATCTCTGACTTTAGGCTACATTAGCATTTATCTGCGTTTGCTTTTATTGTATTAATTTCAAGGGAGTAAAGAAATGTTTTTTTTATTTTATTTAAATGTAGTCAAAACAACTCAGTCATAAGTGATAGCAGTGGCCTACACTACTGCTCCTGAGGAGCTGGGAGATTCTGGTGCTTACTCATCACTCATCAATCCTGCTGGTCAAGGGATTTGGTCTGTGTCCCCTGGGAGAATTTGAGGACATTACTCGATTTTCCATTACATCTAGAGCAGAAACTATTCAAATGTTGTATGTTTGTGGCTGAGTACTATGAAAGACTGCCAAGATGACATTCCCTAAACCAGGGGTGGCAAACATACGGCATGTTGGCCAAAACTGGCCAATAGGGGGTTCAATCTGGCCCACTTAACAAATGTTAAAGTGAAAAAAATGCACAAACACTTCCTGTTCATGATGTCTTGTCAAATTACATTTCATTAAATATGAATATTTTCTAATATACTCGCACTTATTTGCAGGAAAACAAGATGAGAATAAACATGTACTTTTTATTATATATGGTAATTATGTTATAATTGTACTGGTCCTCTCCCCTGAACCAGAAAAAGTTCGACATCCCTGCCCTAAACTATTAATTTTCAACCTCAATCTGCTTTCCTTTTAGCTCGTTGCATTTTCCTCTACGAAAAACAGGAAGGAAGGTCAGGTACCACCTGTTCTTCCAACTACCGGCCCACGTAGGAGTTTTGTGTTAAGCAATCGAAAAAAGCAAGTTCTGGGAATAAAAAAAAGTTGCTGGACTTAAAATGTTTTATTGGATACTTTAGAAACATGCTGGATCCAAAACTAAAGTGAAAGAAATGATTTTTTTCCCCCCTCTCCTTGGTAGCTGTCATCACCTCTCCTGTCAAATCATAGCTGAAGAAACAAGAAGGTAGTAGTCTGTAGTACAAAACTTATCACGTTAATGGACTAATTCAGTGGGGTAATCAACACGTTTCGGTTTCCAATTTCGATCCGATACCTTTCTGTTCTCCTCTCGCATGTCACGGGCAGCTGTTGCTAAAGTTAAGGTTAGCATATGGGCTTACGAGGCAGCTGTAGCTGAGGCGATAGTGTCCTTGTTTACAGCACGACGCGCAAAGTTAAGGTTAGCATATGGGCTTACGTGTTTCGGAGATTCGATCCTGAGATTTTGACCAATATCGGAACAATCAAATCGAGCCATCCCACTTATGAATCTTCCCCAAATATTACCCGTCAGTCATACTTAGCCTATGTTCCAAATTGAGTGTACATTTTCCTCTGTTGCAGTTATTTCGATATGGTGACTCATACTGTTTTCCAGTTCCTGCCAAAAGGTCAGAGTACAAGGATTTCACAGACATCTGGGAAAATCCTGACAGAACATTGTTTCTAACCCACGCAGAACACTCACATTTTCCGCGTGAGGCATTCAGTCAATCCACAGTGTTCCATTTTCTTTTCCCTCGGACATTGACCCTTCTGCTCCGCGACAAAGCTGTGCAGTGTCGCTGCCAAAGGAACTCAGCCTAACGCCTCATTGAGCATTTTTTTTCTATACTGTAAAAAATGTCAACCCCCTCATTCACTGGTCGACGTTGTACGGTATGGTTGCATGACACCTGACACAGCCAAGTCCCCACTTGATGCGTCCTCCAGCACCAAGTGTCCAGGGGCACACTGTTTATGACTCATGCTACCTACACTTTCTGCTGAGACAGCAACGCCAAAACAAATCTAGGCAATGTGTGAGTTCCCATGATGCTTTGGGTCACACCCTGAAGTAGTAAAGTAAAAGAAAGGCTTTGTTTTTGAACAGCAAAAGTTCTGAAAATGTTCACTGTATCTTTCATTCAAGTCCCACGCACAGAACATTCTAGTGGAGGCCTGGGCAAACTAAGGCCCAGGGGCCGGATGCGGCCCGTTCAGCTTTGTAATCCGGCCCGCCAAACTTGTCCAAATTATATAATTGGTTTGTATTGTGAATATACTTCTGCCCTTTTCCCTGCAATGTCCACGTTTTCCCCATAGATGGCGTAGAGAAGTCTAAAAGTATTTTAGCATCTTTAGCTTTTATGCATGACTTTTGCATGTCATTTATCTTAGTTCACACGAACGCTACATCTATCTGCTCCTGACCCGGCCCCCCTGTCAAATTTTAGGAACAAACTGTGGCCCGCAAGTAAAAAGGTTTGCCCGCGCCTGTCTTGTGGAAGCATCAGCTTAATGTCTTTGTTTCATTTTAAATTAGCAGGGTCAAGCATTGGGGGGATTCACAGAACATTATTGGGGAACAGCGTGTGGGTGCCACTCTCGGAGCACCTCAGTGGTAACTTGGCAGCTGGTGGACTCCAACCTAAAACCTTCCAGACCCAAGTCTGCTTCCTTAACCACTGAGCCACCACTGCCCCAGAGAGCTAATTTACTCTTCACTGATTTCTTTCTCTCATTTGGCTGGCTCTTTTTTAATAATTTTGCTACCATATTCCTTCTTACTGATCAAAAATGGTAGTAAACGTCTCAACTATGGGTTCCACAAGTCGTTAGCTAAATGTAAAGCTATTACTACAATGTATGGATGGCACACTTTTTGCATGAGCAGCCAGTACAGCATATGCTAGATAAAAAGAAGATCTTACTGTATATATACATATATTTAATATTGATTCACCAGGTTAAAGATACTCACTTACTTACTGTATATATGCATATATTTAATATTGATTCACCAGGTTACGTGTCGTGCGAATCATGATACCCCAACATATATTGCATATTTGATTATATATAGTTCATAAAACTATATGCATATATTAAAAAAGAAATCAACATAAGTTCAATTGTTGTAACATTTGAATTTCGAGTACAAAAAAAAATGGAGACACAGAGATATGCACATAATGACAAACTACATTAACAGGTCAAACCACGTATCGTTAATTTCACTGAAACTGCACATTACCATAGCAACATACTTAAAAACTCTACTCTAGATGAGTAACTTGGCATCAAAGGAGAGAGTTTTGGAAAGTGTTCACAGATTTCCACACAGTTCACATCAAACCGGCATACTTCAGTTTCAGTGATTTGTTTTGCTTAAGTTTGTCCGCAGCAGGTTCGCATCGATGGCGAGCCAAACGTTGCTCAGCCTGTAGAGAAAACACCTGCCCTAAAAGGCTTCCAACAGGCACCACACAAACCCCAACACACACACACACACGTGTGATTCAATGGCTGTGACGGCTATCAGCAGTCAATCTGCCCGCCCGACACTTTAAACCTTAGCTTTTCACAATTTATTTAGACTTTAAGAGTCCTCTAAAACCTCCTTCGGCCTATTTTTTGTCAAAAACCCATTTTGTGCTAGCTAGCGACACGCTAGCTTAAGGACCAGAGTAGATTAATAACAGGTGCAAATCGCCACGTCTAGACAGATGATGCCAAATTCATGCCAAAGTCGCAGCAATCACAGGTGCATTTAGGTACAATTGGAGACTTTGAGAATCCGACAACTATGGCAGCATACGTGTTGTACAGTTCGGGACAAATGATAGAAAAATACGATTTTCTTTTTCTAATATTTCCTCCAATCTGCAGCCCTCATTGTCTATTTCTCTTCAAAAACCTGTCTGTTTTGTGCTAGCTGGAGACACGCTAGCTTGAGGAGCAAAGTAGCTAACGGCCACGTCTACACAGATTATGACTATGAATATATTAAGTTGCAGTTGCCACGTAAGGTGTGTTCAGGTACCACCGGAAACTCGAGAATGTTTTTGATAAATGGTCATATAAAAATAAAAAAAATAAACAAGATAATGACAACAAGTTTTGGCTTTTTTATCTTATCCGGTAGGCCAGCTATACTGCGCTATTGTTGAATCATCATGAAATTTTCAAACTAAAACATCTTTTAAGCTTCATTCTGTTAGTATCAGAGTCTGAATAACCTTTTGTTTTGAAACGTTGACAGATTATCTTTAAATGAGAAAGTAAAGGG